TTACCTACAGTGCGTTAATGCTGTCAAATATTGCAAGCCTCTGGTCCAGATCGATGGGACTTTCTTGTATGAAAATGCAAGCAAGTTTTATTATTGCAGTTGTCCAAGATGGCAATCGCAACATTCTTCTAGTTGCTTTTGCTCTTGTTGAAGGAGAATATACAGATTCTTGGGTTTTTTTCCTCCAAAACTTACGTGCACATGTTATCACGAGGGAAAAAATCTGTGTCATTTCAGATCGCGGAGCAGGGATCAAAGCATCAATGGAGTCTTTGGGTCCAATGTGGCAACCACCCTTTATCCAACATAGGTATTGTCTCCGACATATTGTTGCGAACTACCATGGAAGGTACAAGAAGAATTATGAGCGTCAATTAATTGTGCGCATGGGTAAGTGAAACTGATGTAGTTTGTTTTCTTTCGATCATTTTAATTTTGCAAAGAAAGCAAGTTAGTAAGTTATACATTTTTTGATCAGGTTACGAACTACTTCCTCAAACATTTGAATCAATGCTTCAAGATTTTCAGGCGAAAAATGACAAAGGATACGATTACATCAGCCTCATCGATAAAGAAATGTGGACGAACGTATATGATGGTGGATATCGATATGGACACATGACGACCAACTTGGCTGAGGCAATCAATTCAACCTTAAAGGGTCCACGTTACTTATCTGTAGCGGCTTTGGTAAAAACTATATATTTTTGTTTGGGGGCGCTTTTTGCGAAGCTCGGGGGACAAGCTCAAACCTGGATGCAAGGCGGTCATGTCTATCACCCTAGATTAGTTGCAGATCTACAAAAAAATTGTCGCATCAAATGGAATGTCTGTAATAAGCTTCTCTAGAAGACATGAAATGTTTCGTGCCACAAAGTTGTCGCGACCTCTTCATGGGATTGAATCTGTGTCGTTAAGAGTAAATCTATGGGACAGAACGTGCGACTGCGAGTTTTTTCAAGCTCTGAAGTATTCATGCTCTCATGCGATAGCAGCTTGCTCGCATACACGTCAAGACTATAACTGTTTTGTAGATCACGTATACCCACTATCTGAAGTTTTTAAGGTATACGAATTTGAGTTCCCCCTATAGGTAATGACAAAGACCCTGATGAGGTTCAAGATTGGCTTCCGATTGTACTAAATCCAACTTTATTGAGGGAGTGTGGTCGTCCAAAATCCAATCGAATTCATTGTGATATGGATATTCGAGAAGATGTGGGCATTGTAGAAACCCATGACACACTAGAAAAACATGTCCACTTCTTCTGTCATCAAGTAACAATTGACGATGAACTGATGTAGTTGTTTATCAAATAAGAATTCATGTACTTTAATTTGTATTTACTTCAAGTTAATGTCATTCGATCTTACAATAAGTGACAAACTGAAGAAAGTTATTGAACACAATTATTAAATTTTATCAAAACAATAACAATTTTGTATTTGAATATAATTTTAAATACAACAAACTTACAATAAGTATTAAATGGTAAATGATAAACAAATTAAAATAACTGATATTAAGTGTTAATAAACAAAATTAACCAAAATACATTAACAAAAAGTTCAACAAAATAAATTAAAATAAATCCAACAAAATTAATGAAATAAAGAAAGTATTAAATGATAAATAATAAAAAAATTACAATAAAAAAGTCCAATAAACAACTAAATACAAATATAATAAAAAACAAAAATATATCGATGCCTATGACGCGAATGTGTTCTGCAGAGCGGTGGCTGTCGGTTCTTGAGGATGATTTCTTCGTATCAGTGGTTGTGACTCCTCGCTATCATCATTATTCACCATCATCGTCATCGTCGTCGTCCTGAGCAGTTACATTAGGTTGATGAGGAGTTGATGACGATGAAGCACCTCCATAGAATAAGGACCCTGGAAGTATATGACTGACTATCCCACCGGCCTGTGAAAACTGGGAAAACTCATAAAACCCAAACATCGCTGAGTGTGAAAACTATATAGGAGGTGTCTGTGCTGCGGCCATGGGTGATGAGGCTGAACCTGCTAAAATGTGGGCATATGAACCCCAAGTCGGATCTATAAACATAGACCCATAATATCCTCCAAGAGGGGTCATAAAACTCTATGACGATGGCGGCGGCGGGGGTCATAAAATCAGGCGACGGTGGAGGCGACGACATCGGGTAAGAGAACGGCGGTGGCGACATCACATATGTTGTTTTATGTAAGTCGCTGTAGACAGTGGCTGTTGTGAAGGTCATGTTGGTGCAACTGAGGATGAACCGGAAGCACCTGCTCTCCGTCCACGTGTCGGGGGACGATGGTGCTGTGTCGGTGAATGTCTCTGTCGTTGAAAGGTCTTCCCTCGTGAATCCTCGGAAAGCAAAAACGGTTTCTCGTTACTGTTAAACCACTCATAATAACCCTCAGCAACCATCAAGAGGTCAGTAAAAATGGGCTCTCTACGGGGAAGGCGTCGATGTCGATCATCCCACAGCACAACCCACTCATGATGCCTCAGCAGCCAATCTATATCGGTCTTGTCGCGTCTATCTGTGCTATGCAACTCGTCCATATTGCGAGGTGCTTCTGAAATTGGTTGAAAACAACCAAATTGCTGGAGCACATAATCAGTGGAGTGTCACTCGACGATCGCATAACAGATCAAAGAGACCATCGCCATCCAAACATCTAATGGGCTCTTAACTCAGGTGGGATCACCATCCTCACATCATCATTAGAATATGACATCTGTTCAAACTAAAACAAATATATATAATTTTTATCAAAATAATAATCTAATTATACAACTATATTCTAAAATCGATTTTTAAACATTAAAATGCATACATATGTGCCAACCTTCTGATCGATTAGCACCCTAATTTTTTCTAAATCATCAGGTAGCTCCTGATGATTTTTCCTATCAGTAGACCACCTATTCAAGGAAAATAAAAATTATTATACACTGTATAAAATGTTTGATATACGAAATCAATTTTATAATTACCTCAATAGTAGCGGAAATACGAATGGGTTCTTGACAACGGGAAATAAAAAGGGCAATCGATACCATACCCAAGACTGCAGCAGCAGGAGACATCCGCCGATAGCATTTTTCTTGTAGTCAGTGGCTTGACACATCTCCTTGTACAGGAAAGCCAAAACTGCCGAGCCCCAACTGAGTGATCCGGCCAGATGAAAGTCGCCAAGATGTCGCAACCACATACAATGAACTTGATTGCGCGATTTGTCCGGCATCAACAACCCTCCTATCAGTTGCAGTATGCATGCCCGTGCATACATTTTAACTTCATCATCAGAGGCGTCCTCGCTCAACTCCCAAAAATTGGCATATAACCAATTTAATGGTATCCGACCATCGTTAAAACTTTCTGGGACACGTCCTAGATAGTCCCGGCACAAAGCAGTCCATGAATCGTGCGCCATCCCTGATATCACATCTCCATCCACCAAAAGCCCCAGGTGCATAGAAACATCCTCAAGTGTAATCATGCACTCTCCGCACGGAAGATGGAATGTGTGGGTCTCTGGCCTCTACCGCTCTACTAAGGCAGAAATAAGGTCTGGTTCTATCTTACAATAACCCTCATATCTACCTATGTGATCGAATCCAGCCTCTACTAAATACGACAAGACACGGCTAGGTATCACTAACTTAAGGTTCCTAATAAAAGGATCTAATACACGGTCCCTCTCCTAAAATTAAATAATTACAAAAATTATTTTTTAAACTAATAATCATACATTAAATAAATAAATAAATTATTACTAATAATTTAAATTATATTAAAATATTAAAATGTTATTGTATCAGTAAAATGTCGCGATATATGATTTTCATCTAAGCGGAGTAAACCTCCTTCTATTTTATATATGCAAAAAAATTAATTAAATAAAATATTAAAAAATTTAAATACTTAAATAAATTAAAAAAAAATATTAAATATAATAAAATATACCTTAAACAGTTAAAATAAAATATAAGAGAAGTTGAGATGATTTGGTGTGATTAAAGTGATTGAGAATGAGGGTATTTATAGGGAGGGGGTAGGGTGTGAACGGTCGGGGTAGGTGAGTAATTAAACCTAAGGCGCACCGCAGAGGGCGCACCTTTCTAACACGTGTCAGCATTAAAGGTAAAGCGCGGTCCCTGCCCCGCGCTATACCCATGTGACGCCAGATCAACGTAAAACGCGCTGTAGGGGACGCACCTTACCCCACATGACGTCATATCAACGTAAAACGTGTTGTAGGGGTACGTTTTACTGTAAAAAGTATTAGATCAAAAAAAAAATAATGATAGGAAATAATATAGGGTATAAATGATATTTCAAGAAAAACGCCCTTTCTCAATGGATAAAATAAGTTGTAATTATCTCTTCAATCTCCACGGCTTGACCAAATAAAATGAGCTGCCCGAGGTCATTGTATTGTAATGATAATAGTTGTCGCGTAGAGCCGCCCCATTCGCCGGTGAATCAGTCAACTCAATCCTAAGAAAAATATGCTCAGCTGTATCCCATCTCCCAGAGTTTGACAAATTCAATTTCAAAGGAGATTGATTTGAATTTGCTGATGCTTATCCAAATCCCAGAATTTTTTAGTTTTATGCAAGTCGAAAACTATATCACGTTGTTTAAAGTACTAAAATTCTATGTTAAATACCAACCATTTCAACATTATGGAAATCAAAGTCAGAGGCATATGGCAAAGAGGACTTTTATTTAACCATATGGAGTTGTATATTTTGTCTTATTATTTCCAGCATTTATACTTGTCTAATTACCTTATCCATTGGCTCAAAAATTCTGTCCACGACATTTTAACCCACAGTTTTACATTTCTGCATTCAATCTCTGCTATAAATACATCTTTCTCCAACCTTTCCTTATTGCGTTCCATACATCTTTACAAACCCATATTCTGTTATTTTCCTACTTCATTTTCACAACAAAACTTGAGAAGGAAAAAAAAAAGAGTTTAGTAGTAGCCATGGAAGGTTTAATTCCTTATCTGATCCATGCCATGAAGAAAGAAAAGCCTACTCACCGTTACCGGTCAATGTCCGTTGGGTCTAGCCGCGGCTACCATTTGTTATTGGGACAGTCACCGGCGGACTCCGTCGAGGGGTCGTCGCATAGGCGGACGAGGTCGGAGTTTCAGCCTCCGACGGCGGAGTATTTCGAGCAAAGGTCGGGTCTTGGTATGGTTAGCCCAAGGGGCAACAACTACGGTTCTTCTTTAAACTACACTTCACCGGCTGGCGGCTCCAAAGTTGGTTCGTATCAGCAGAACTCAAAGGCGAATAACGTTCATGTTTCTGATGCTCGGCGACGACGATGAACTTTGTAAAGGAAAATAGAAGTACTTGTTTTCAAAGATTTGTTTGTTTGTTATGTTCTGATTATCAACGCAAATGATTGTTTTTGTAATTTAATTGTACATTCAAACAGTATTTACATTATAATGATTAGTGATTAATGTCTGCTTTTGAATTTTTTTCATTTCTTATCTGAAACCGAAACCGCAAACGTTAGTGTGAAACTACAACTGGCTTTGGCATAAACGCAATTGCAAATTCAACCAAAAATTTGAAACGACAAAGTAAAGGAGGAGAATTAGACTGTTTTGACAGTGACATGTAGTACGATTAGAGCATTATAGGCTAAACTACACCAATGGTCACTAATTTTAAGTAAATTTTTGTTTTCCTCATTAAAGTTTTTAAAGTTATAAATTGGTTACTAAAACTATCAATTTGTAACAAATTACTCACTAATATTATTGATTTGTAATAAAATGACCATCCCACCATTGTCCCCACTAAATTGATGTTGTGGCAAGTGACAACCTTAAAAAAAAGGATAATATTTAGTTTTACTCTTAAACTATTGTTAAAATATCAAATGAATTCTTAAATAATTGTCTTATATCTGATTTATCCCAAAAGCTTTCTAATTTTTATTTTTATCAACATCCCACCACCTCTCCTATATTTGAACCACTTCCTTAAACAAATCTACATAATTGGTATCAAACCCTAAACTCACACTTAAAATAAATTGGAATCCAAAAAGTCTAGCTTTATATAATTAAGATGATGACACATGGTTAATCAAAAAGGATTATGTTTCCACGTTATTGGAATCTCTGTAGAATTTAATTTTTTCCCTTCTGTTGCGAATTGTGGGCTACAAGCCTTGTCTAAATAAATTTATTTTTTCGTTTAAAATGCTTGGAGCATGAAGTTACAATCAACAGAATTCTCAGGAAGTTGAGATAAAAATAGCTATCATCTTTTTTTACATACATAAAGTTCGATCATGTTTACTGATTATGGCAACACAAACATACAAGACCTCCAATGGCGGATTTGATACTCGTTACATTGTTGAGAGAGGTTACAAACTACAATTCAGAGCAGATGGAACCAACAAAACTAGTGGTTGGTATAAAAGGAAAAAATAAAACAACTACAAGAGTTGTCATGGCAGACTATATAAACCGGCTGCCATGGCCAAAGCCCATGAAAGCTAGACAACAAACTACTTACAACTGCCAAAAGCAAACCACCACTATGACGATTCGAGATTTTCTATCCGCCATTGAAGTAAAAAAAAAACTCAATCAACAAGTGTACAGAACATTGAGTTAGAAAACGCGAGACTCCATAAAACCAACGGTGGACGAAGCACAATAATAGTACAACAAGCTTAGCCCAAGAAGAAGTGAACAAGGCGGCAAACTAAAACCTTTTGACATGAAGAAAAAGATACCCATGGAATCTAGATCCCAGAAAAATCTATATTCTCAGGGACGTTCGGTCATGAAGAAGCCAACACCCATTATTGCCTTATTGGGATTCAAAAACATGGTGTAAGAGATTACTGATGAAAAGAAACCTGCAAAAAGTTACTGAGGAAGGTTGTTTGATATAGCGGAGGTGACGGGTGTGTGGAAAAAAATGCTTTAGAGGTAAACTAAATATAAAATCATCGTTAAATGATTCATTTAATGTTTTACTAATAATTTAGAGATAAATTTTATATATATATTTTTTGTTAATGTTAACTAGTCATCAATTTAATTGTGATAATGGTGGAATGATTATTTTATTATAAATCAATAATATTATTGATTAATTTATTAATTTTAAAATTTTAGTATATATTTAAACATTATTATTGATATAATTTACCCAACATTATAATTATAATTCATCTTTGAGTAGGAGGGCAAAATTCTTTAAATAATGTGATAAAAATAGTTTATTTAGGATGTTTGAGAATTTATTTGCTGAAATAGGTTCGTTATAGTATTGATTGAAAGATGTGAAAATTCTCTGAAACCTCAAATAAATCAATATGTTTTTGCCAACACATTTTCCAAAAAAATTTGTCATTAAAAAGAGATACAGCTATATTTTTGTGTATGTTATTTGAAAGAAAACTTAAGGTTTTTTGTTTTACTATAATTAATATTTTGAAATATATTTTTTCCATTGTACGATATTTTGTTAGTAAAAAAGGCATAGTCAATGTAATTTATTTTCATGGTTAATAATATTTTTTGTAAGTTTTAAAAAATGACTTACGAATTTATTTTTTGTAAGTTATTTTTTGAATTTTTCACTTCAAATAATAAATACAAAAAATAATAAATTTTGTATTAATATATTATTTTAATAAAATATCAATTATTAAAATATATTTATTAATAATTTTAATAGCATATCATTATATTTTTTAGTATTATAATAATATATTTAATTATATTATAATTATATATGATATTATATTTTTGTTTTAGTAAAGTTATTAAATCATTAAATATTTATAATATATTTATTAATAAATTTTATAATATAATATTTTTTAGTTTAATATTATAATACAATTCTGACTGAGATTCCTACACATAATTAATCAATTGAACTTGATGTTTCTATATTTATTCTTTTGAAAAGAAAACACTAATTACAGATAATTTTCCTCGATACAAAATATATAACGAAACATGTAAATAAAAAAGAAAGAGTTAATTGTATCATATATCCTCAAACTATCATCCTTATTTTAAATTGGTCCTTAAAATTTTGAATATTCTAATTTTATCTCCAAAAAATGTCTCACTCTATATTAGTCATTAAAATTTTGAGCATTACTATTTCATCCCCAAACTATGACCCTCATTTTAATTGATCCTCAAACTTTTTAATCTTCCAATTTCATCACCAAATATGTAATTAGTTTCAACCATAGTTTAACCTAATTTTTGTTTTTAAAACATATAATAATATAGTTTGGTCTAATGATTTTATTAACAAGGGATGTGATTAGTACATACATATAGTTTGGGATGAAATTGAGATGTTCAAAAAGTTTGGGGACTAATTTAGAATGAAGGTCATAGTTTGGGGATAGAATTAAAATGCTTAAAAGTTTGAGGATTAATTTATAATGAAAATCATAGTTTAAGGAAGAAATTGGGAAGTTTAAAAATTTAGACTAATTTAAAATAAGGATCATAATTTGAGGGCATTGATGCAATTAACTCAAAATAATATAGCTGGAAACTAAATATGTGAAGAAAAAAAAAGAAAAACAAAAACCACTGAGGTACGTCAACTAAGAGAGTGGAAATAAATAAAGAATAGCTTAATGTAAAATACAAATAGATAAGATGAACAATGAGGAATAAGATAGGTTACAAAAAGATTTTTAAATTAATTAAATTAAAGAGAAGGACAATGACAAATACCCCACATGATTTGAATACTAGTTGAAGATACTAAAATTTTTTTTTATCCATATTATTATTATTAATATTATTATTATCCTTATTATTATTAATATTATTATCATTATTATTATTAATATTATTATTATCCTTATTATTATTAATATTATTATCATTATTATTATTATTATTATTATTATTATTATTATTATTAATTATATTAAATATATTAAATACATAATAATAATTACAGGCCCAATTACAACTGGACCGTCCCAGTTACAAACCAACCAGAGCCGGTCCAAATCCAACCAGAAACCCTAAATATTTGGGTTTCCAGTTAGGGTTTCCTAACCCTAATCATCCTCAGCCGCCTCATCACAACCGTTGGATCTGGCACGATCCAACGGTCCACATGGTTCCAGAAAGAAACCCTAGGGTTTGATACCCTAGGGCCACGCGGCGCCGCCCCAGCTTCCACGCGGCTGCCGACAGTCTTCTCGCCGCCACGCCGCTGCCACGTCCCAACCGAAGACTCCAGAAGATAAAATGGCAGCCGTCCACGCCATGGCTACTCGGTGAGTCACCACTGGTAGTCCGGTGACTCACCGAGAGCCCTTCTTCGGACCGGTCCGACGGCTACAACGGTGGTGGCTATAAAAGCCACCACCCCATCTGCAAGAAAAAAAAGGGGGACAGAAACAGAGAAGAAAAAAAAAACAGAGAAAATAACAACTACCAACGATCCCAGTCTACAACAACAGAGCAAAAACAAAAGGAAAAAGGAAGAAAAAAACTTACCGAGGGAACCGTTGGTCATCAGAGCCTTTTTGGAGCCACCGGAAAGTCAAAGGTCGAAGGTATAAACTTTAGATCTACGCATTTCAGTAGTATTTTAGGCTAAAAAACCTACAGATCTAGCTTTAGGGAAAACCAGGCTTTAATTTGGGGTGGGATTTGTAATTTCCGGCCACCGGATATGGCGGCCGGCGGTGGTTTTGACGGTGGCTAACGGCGGCCGGCCGGAGAGCTTCTCTCTTTTCTAGAGAGAAGCGAGAGAATTTTTTTCTCTCAGAAAAGAGAGAGAGAGAGAAGAGAGGAGAAATGAAGCTGGCCCTTCGGGCCAGCTGATTTTAGGCTTAAATAGCCCTTCCCGAACGACGCCGTTTTGGGAAGGGCTATTCGCGTAATTACGAAATAGTTAAACCCCGTCCGCAGTCCTTCGTATTTGTAAATTTTACATTTTGGTCACTAAACTGAATTTGTAATAATTTTAATTTAGTCTTCGAATTTTAATTTTATTCATTTTAGTCCCTTTTATTAAAATAATATATTAGGATAAATGACAGATTTAATCCCTTAATTTTAATAAATAAAATTTTTATCCCTAGTTCATATTTTAATTAATTTTATTATAAAATTTGAATTTTAGATAATTTTGTTTTGGTCACTAAATTATTAAATTAAAAAATAAATATTTAATTAATTAGGAATTAGATTTAATTTTATTTTTATTATAATTTAGTTATTTATTTTATATGTTTTAATTTTACTGCTTAAAATACATTGTTTTAGTAATATTTTTTATTTTATATGGTTAAATATTTTT